CCCCAAAACCCCCAAAACCCCAAAACCCCAAAACCCCTAACATAAACTCAATGGTTGAATCACAACAGATCTATCCTTTCCCAAATTTTCCTCCAAAAATGCTCTAACACATCTCCAAAAATCTCCCCAAAATCCCCTCTCCTCCCCAACCCCCTATTTCTCAACTTCATTCATCTTTCTTCACTAAATTTCTTATACCTCTATTCCTTCCTCCTCCATCCCTCTCCCTCTTCTATTCTTCAGCTGGCTGGTGCCTACTGCAGAGCAATATCTGAACTTGGGATTAAGAAGGATTCAACCTGTTTGATGTTGTTGAGGTCTGAGTCTGAACAACTGGAGGGTGTGTTGGAGTCACTGGAGGTTTGGGAGTTGTTAAGGTTGGTTTCGAAGGATTTTGTGGATTTTATGTGGAGCGTGGGAGGGAGATCAGCGGGAGTAACACTTTCAGAATCCACTCGTGAAGTGACATTCCATGAAACAGCTGAAGTTATTTTGTGTTCTTCTTTAGCCCCAGAACTCTCTAAAGACGCATTAGAGGCTTATTAGAGCATATAAAAGAGCTGAAATTAGCCTAGAGAGACTCTAGAGTGGGAAAGGAATTTTAGAGAAGAAATTTTACCTGAGGGTGGGCCTGGTCTTGTAACCTCCCTTTTAGGGGTACCTGTGTGGTGAATTGTGATTTTGAAGGAAAAGAATTAGGAGAGTGCTTAATCAGATAAGGAGTAAATTTTTCTGATTTGTTATGAAGGTTTTAATGGTTTAATGGGATTAAGAGTGATCAAAATAGCATACAATTTTGGATAAAATAGAGGTATTTTTGTTCTTGAGAAAGATAAGAGGACATTCGTACTCTGAGGTTCTATTTGGGAGGAAAAATCTTCTACTACTGTAAATGAATCAGACTCTGAATTTTCTTCTGTATTAGTATAAGGGGTTTCTTTGTCTAAAATAACATTTATTCTATTCTTACTCTCTTCTAAAGGTAGTTTGTCATTTATTATTTTCTTCTGAGATGTCTTCTGATTGGCACTATATGTATCTTTAGTTTCAGAATTATGATGATAATTTGACAGTCTAATTTGATACAAATTTTCATAAGGAAGTAAAACTATAGGCGAGGCTTATCTCCCTCTATGATGTAAAGGAATTCATATTTTAGTACAATATAAAAACACTTAAAGGTTAGAGATTTGGATTTTTACTTCGGATTAATAGGGGACAATTTCTAGCTCTTTGTGATAGCCAATTGATTGTTTTTGAATATTAATAATTTTTAATAAATCTCTAATTCTAAGAATTCCTAAGAATCTACGTTTAAGTAGTTCTAAAGTGTAGTCTTCCCGTTTCTGTAACCATTTTTGAACAACTAGCTCCCAAAAATTATGAATACTGAATTTTTAGTTTTTTTAATCAGTCGGTAGACTTCCTCAACCTAAGAGACTAAATGTTGGAAGATCTACTTGATGCTGAAATCTCTTGATCTTCATTTAGTATTATATAATTAACATCAAGGAGTGTAGGATGGAAAATTTTAAAGAGGATATAATGCTTAGATACTATATATCCTAATTTTATTTTATCAGAAATGCATATTTTCTCTATTACTCCTTTTCGAAAGGAGAGTACTAAGATTAAATATCCTAATGCGGATAGATATATAACAGAAATATTGGGCTTAATTATACTAAGAGATTCGTACTTTTGATCATCCGGGCATTCTTGTGGCCTTTGAATTAACTCATCTTCGTTCATTTGTTTACCAGGTTTATGATGGCATTTCTCCTCTTCATTAGAGTTGGCTAATCTTACTCCAGTTTCTTCCACTTCCTCTTTTATTGTTTTATTTTTAAAAGAATGGATGAAGAAAGATTTCACTATGCTTAATTCTTTTATCTGGATTGGGTTGTAAGCATTTTCAAATAAAGTCAACACATTCTGAGGAAATGTCCGTATTCTTTGGAATTTTAAAATCCCCATTACTCATTTTCTCCTTAAACCTCGGTTTATTTTGAGTTAAATGGAGGCTTCCCAAAAACAATCTAGTACAAAATTATTTCTCAATTAACAAACTCAAATTAATGAAATGCTTTTTAAACAAAACTGTGAATCGTTGGCAGGTTTTATTACCTCATAAATAATAACTCCAAAAGACCAGATGTCTACTGTATGGCCAGACTCTTTATTTGTTAAATATTTCAGGAGCCATCGTAACAGGAGTTCCTCAAGTAGATGTAGTATATTCTTCAGGTTTTAAACTCCGGGAAAAGCCAAAATCGCCTATGATTATTTCAATTTTGCCTTTTTCGTAATCGAAGTTTCTGATATACTCTTTATCGATAGGCTTGGACTCTTTATACTCAGGAAAATTAACAAGGATATTATCCAGTTTTAAATCTCTGTGGATTAATTCTTTCTCTGCTAAGTAGCATAATCCTTTAGCTATCTGGGTAATAACAATTCTGGCAAACTCTTCTTCAAGTTTATTTACCTCTTGCTTTAAGAACAGAGCTTAGATCTCCCCCGTTACAATACTCTACAACAATATAACAGTTGTTTTTATTTTTGAATACTTCGATGCACCTGAGGACATTATCATGTTTCAGCTTGCGCATTATGTCTATAGAGCATGATAAGAGATGACCTTAATCATTTTTATTATATTAAAGACTCATGTGGATACTATTTTGATACAAATTTATCTGAAAATTTCTAGAGTGACCAAAATTGGCCTAATTCTTATTTTAAAGTCTCAGTATTAAACAATAGAAATTAGAATATCTACAAATAGCTATATAGGGTTCAGAAACTTTTATCCATAGCATCTGAATAGTATAAAAAATTTAAGCTATAAATCCAAGCCAGGTTAATCTTCAAGGGTTGGTAAATGTTTGTTCAAGTGTGTAATTATTTAGAATAAGGCCTTACTGATCTCTCTAAGCAAGTATTTCTTCATAATAGCTCTCTCTTCAAGCAATGACAGGGGTATCATTTTGATCGCTAATTTCATTTCATTTCTCATACGCTCTCTAACCCCATAAGGAATTTCATCTTCATGCCTTATCCTACACCTATAAACCTGTCCAAACTGTCCACTTCCTAATTCCTGATAAATATTATAATTCCCTATTATTTTAATCGGCTTTTCTTCCTCCTGAAGCTCTCCTTCCATTTGTAGCTTAAAATCTTTTATTTATAATATTTTAGCAGAGTTTTGGGGTTTTGGGGTTTTGGGGTTTTGGGG